GCTAACTAGAAGCCCTGTGTGTTGTATAATAGATGTCTGGGATTTATTTATTTTGCATAACTGAAACTTTGTTCCTTTTGACCAGCACCTTCCTTTTCTCTCTCCCAGCTCCTTGTAATCACCTTAAGTGGCATCATTAATATTTCTTCTTCTATGTGTGACTTATTTCACTTCTCATAATGTGCTCTAGGTTCATTTATGTTGGCCCCTACTTTTTAGAAGCTCATGGAATATTTTAAAAGTTTTATGGAATGTTTTGTAAATATTTTAACTACTGTTAATTCTTGAGAGATTTATAAATCGATTGATGCTTCTGCTGACTCATGCATAGTGGTTGCTTTTTGGTACACTAGTAATCTTTGATTGTGATTTTAATCTGTAGGCGTCTTATATGAGGGTTTGTTTCAGATTCTCTTGTGGACCAGGGTCACTACTAACCAGAATTACCCAAGCCTCCTTTTAGCTTAATAGCTTCAAGTGGGAATGCCAGCTTCAGTTACCCACCTCACCCCTGGTCTAATTTTCAGTGCATTCCATGTTACAGCAACTTAGGAAAAGACATCATCTCATTTACCTACTTCCTTAGAAGGAAAGGAAAGTTGCCCTCCCATGATGTGATTGCTGCCATCCCATTAGGTACAAACTGTCCTCAGTACATGTTTAGTATCACACTACCAAGCAAGGGCTGTGCTTAGAGTATCCCCTCTCTTCTATGCTGCTTGTCCCTCCAGCCCAATTTCTTTTGAGTGGTACTGGAGATTGAACCCAGGGGTGATATATCACTTAGCTACATTACAGCCCTTTTTTTTGGAGGCGGGGTATCAGGAATTAAACTCAGTTGCACTCAAACCCGGAGCCATATCCTCAGCCCTGTTCTGTATTTTATTTAGAGATAGAGTCTCACTGAGTTGCTTAGTGCCTCACTTGTTTTGCTGAAGCTGGCTTTGAACTTAAGATCTTCTTGCCTCCAGCCTCCTGAGCTGCTGAGATTACAGGTGTGCACTGTGCCTGGCTCATTACAGCTCTTTTTGAGACAGGACCTCACTAAGTTGCCCAGTCTGGCCTCAATCCTTCTGTCTCAACCTCCTGAGTGGTGTGTCACCACTCCTGGCTTTGTTTTATTTTCCTAACTGGCCCTTCATCTTGAGGGTGGGTACAATCTCAGGTTAAACATTTCTCTTCGCAGTCAAATCCAGCATTGGCCACTGCGTGTGGCAACTCTTATCAGGAGCAAGTTGTATTTGAATTACCATGACTATCTCCTGGAAGGAACCACAGAGGCAATAAGGATTCCAACTATCCCTTAGTAATCTTCAATCCTTTTCACAGGTCAGAACATTCTTTAGGTGTTTAGCAATGTTCTTTTTTTGGTACCAGGGAATGAACCTGGGGGCACTTAATCACTGAGCCATATCCCCAGCTCTTTTTTTTTTTTTTTTAACTTTGAGACAGGGTCTCGCTAAGTTGCTGAGGCTGGCTTTGAACCTCCAATTCTCCTGCCTCTGCCTCCTAAGCCACTGAGATTATAGGTGTGTGCCACCGTGCCTGACTATAAATGTTCTTTATACAATGGAAATAATAGTGGTAATAGGCTATGTATCCTAAATAATAAAGGTAATAGGAAATAATAATGGAGTAGGCTTCTTCACAAACCATAATCTAAGAATAATCCTGTTTCTTTTTAAAAAATATTTTTCAGTTGTAGATGAACACAGTATCTATATTTTATGTATTTATTTTTATGTGGTACTTTTATTTTAATTCATCACTTGTTTCTAACTGCCATGTTCTTTTTTGCAGAAAAATGTTGTTCTAGTCCCTACATCCTAATCTATACTCCAAATTCTAATGTTTCTGTCTTTCAATTTCACAGACCCTCTCCCCTAACATCTGTTGTTGCCCTTACCTCTTCCCTTCTCCCCTGAACTGCTGCTTAGTCAGCACTTACAATAAACTAGATTCTGAGATAATTGCCTGTTACATACCATCTTATCTATCTTATCCTACTCTATGAGATGGTAACATTAAAATTTCCCATGGTATAGATGAGAAAACAGAGGCTCAAGAATTTGGCCAGTGTTCATATAGTGAAGCTAGAATTTGTAACAATTACATATGTTTTATGGTACTGGGTATTGAAACCAGGAGTATTCTCTTATCTCCATTCCAAGTCCATGTATATATTTGTATTTTCACTTTGAGACAGGCTGGCCTTGAACTTGTGATCCTCTTGCCTCAGCCTCCCAAGTAGCTGCAATTAAAGGTGTGTGCCTGCCTTTTAATTTAACTTTTAAAGTTATGACGTGTTTGGCTTTATGGAAAACAAAACAAAGTGGTCTCAACAATAATGAAATAAAAAGGTGCTTAATTCAGTGGCTCTCCATTACTGTCAAAACCTCAGGTGTTTTATTCTGTCAGACATCTTTGATGTATTCAGGCTTTGTCTCCAGGTTAGCTTTCCAGGCTACCAAGGTTCTATCCTCACACTCCCAGAATGCTTAGAGGCAGAAGTAGCTATTTTTCGTGTGCATGTCTTTTTAAGAGCAAAGAAACTTTTCCCAGGATGCTCCCCCAACCTTGCCCCAGCAGACTTTCCCTCATATTGCCCAAAACACCAGAATGCTTCCCTAGTTATTGGCTAGGGGATCAGTATGGGCCTAAACTAATTAAGGCTGGCTGTCCCTTAAGTTCCTGGCCGATTGTTAGAAGGGAAATATAAGTAGGGGATAGAAAATAGATAGAAACTTTGCCCGGAAGTGTCTGTCACAGAATCTAAAGTCCTGGATGTTAACCTTGACAGACTTCTGTTATTATGGGCTCTCCCCTCAGCTCCTACCTTCACTCTAGCAGATTTTCTTTTTTTTTTTTAATTTTTATTGTTGGTTGTTCAAAACATTACATAGTTCTTGACATATCATATTTCACACTTTGATTCAAGTGGGTTATGAACTCCCATTTTTAACCCACATACAGATTGCAGAATCACATCGGTTACATATCCACTGATTTACATATTGCCATACTAGTGTCTGTTGTATTCTCCTGCCTTTCCTATCCTCTACTATCCCCCCTCCCCTCCCCTCCCCTCCCCTCCCCTCCCCTCTTCTCTCTCTACCCCATCTACTGTAATTCATTTCTCCCCCTTGTTTTTTTTTTTTTTTTGCAGATCTTTTTTTTTTAAATATTTATTTATTTTTTTCAGTTTTCGGCAGACACAACATCTTTCTTTGTATGTGGTGCTGAGGATCGAACCCGGGCCGCACACATGCCAGGCGAGCGCGCTACCGCTTGAGCCACATCCCCAGCCCCAGATTTTCTTAACTGTGAGCCAGTCTCCTAAATGACACATGCCAAGGCTATCCTTGGCAGAACAGTGAGGAATGGGAAATGTGTTCCTTGGGGCCCCTGACATCCCCTGAGATGTCAGTGTTGTGCATGGTCAGCACAGGCAGTCACAGCCTGGGACTGGGAAGATGAGCAGTGAATCTAGTTGGGAAAGTGGCCAGCCCAGCCCTGACTCAGCCCAGAGCTAAGTTCTAATCATGCTCCTCCTTCTCTGCGATTTGGTCTTTATAGTGCTTTTTCTTCTCTTTGAATTTGGTACATTTTCTTAATAAATTCTAATTTGTCCCTTAGTTTTATACTCCAGCGCTAACCTCAAAGCTCCTTCCCCTGAATTTCCAGTAAGAATACTTATATTGCTGGGCATGGTGATTAAGGGCATATGCCTGTAATCCCAGCAGCTGAGAGGCTGAGGCAGAAGGACTGCAAGTTCAAAACCAGCCTCAGGAACTTAGCGAGGCCATCTCAAAAACAAAATATAAAAAGGGTTGGGGATGTGGCTCAGTGGTTAAGTGCCCCTGGGTTCAATCCATGGTGAAAAAAAAAAATCTCAAAACCATCAAACAAAAAACCAAACAAACCCCAAAACAAAAAACCTATATCCACTGAATGTAAGACCATTGATCTTCCATGTGTCAGAAGCTGAGAGATAACATCAGACAAAAAGAAGAAACGCAGTTCCGGTGGCTGTGTGCCACTTCTTTCACACATACTAGTTTACTTTATCCTTAAGTACATCAGTAGGTTAGGTTATTTTAACCTTCACATATTGTTTAGGAATTCAGGTTCAGAAGAATTTACCTGCTCTGAGAGTTTGTGTCCACTCAAGGCCACAAGCTATTATGAGCCCACATCTGCCTGGCCTCATGGCTATGTTCTTCTCTACACAAACATTTTGGTTTCATAGTGTGTGTGTGTGTGAGTGTGTGTGTGTGTGTGTATGTATGTATGTATATATATATATATGGCCAGGGATGTGGCTCAGTGGTAAGAATGCTTGTCTGACATGCACGAAGTCCTGGGTTCAATTCCCCAGTGCCACCTCCAAGTGTACATTAATTTGTACCATACAGCAAGAGTATAGAGTGAGTAGTGCTGTGTGCATTCGTAAACAGACAGTGGGGTTCAGACATGCCCCAAAGCCATGGAACTTAGCTTTTTTGAATGTGCACATACCACTCTTGGTATGCCAAGCTAAACATTGCATATTTGTTAAGGGATGATTCAGATTATAATAGGTATTCAACAAATAATGCTTGTTAAACTACTTCAATGAAAAAACTTACTACCTAGAGTTCTCCGGGTTCCTTTTTTCCCCAATCATCTCCCCTCATACCTTTTCCCAAGGACCTCACTCACAGGGGCACCACAGCTATACCTCCTCAGGCCCTGATCAGACAGGGAGGCCTCAAGGAAGACTTCTGGTAGAGACCTGAAGGGTCCTAGAGGTTTTTGCCCTCCCACCTCAAGGCTTCCTTTTTCTCGGAATGGACAAACTGGACTTCTCAGCCTCTTCCTTGCCTTGGGTGGCTTGTCCTGTGGCAGACACCGGTGAGCCCATTCTCTGGCTCTGCTGGCCTTGGCTCCCACTAGTCATCACATTAGTGCTACCCTACCCCCTCCTCCTCCAGCTCCGCCTCCTTCCTCTGGCTCCACAGCCTTGGACACAGTACACAGAAGCTCAGCAGGAAGGGAAACAAAAGGAACTTCCTGGGTTCCCATGGCTGTGTCCAGCAACTTCATCCCAGGACTCAGTCCTCTGAACCCTCATTATATCCCAGGGTAAGACTTCTATTCAGAGTACTCCTCTGCTGGCTTCTGGGACTTAGATATAGGAGTTGGATCACCTAACCCTTGGGGTCAAGTGGATGTATTGGTTTGAGAGATCCAAGGTATCTATGGTGCTGGGCAGGGAGGAAAAGCAAGAGGATGCAATAGCTGGGTCTGTCACAAAGTTCTATGTTGTCTTCTCCATGGGAACAGCAGAGAAGTAGGACTGGAAGCCCAGGCAGAGGCCTTAGAAACACCTGCTCCAAATATCTGTACAGCCAAGTACAGAAATATCAAGGCTTTAGAGGGTTCTTCTGTCTCTGGGGATGGTGAGGCAGGGGGATTCTGGAGGTGAGTGGGTGGGTCCTGTGCTACAGGTACACTGGACATTGCCCACTACTTCGGTTCAGCATGGGTCAGACCTACGGGCAGCTGACTGGTCAGCTACTTCGAGGCCCCCCTGGCCTAGCCTGGCCCCCTACCCAGCGCACACTTCTGCCTCCCATTCGTCCTCCAAGATCTCCTGAGCTTCCCAGGAACAGCCTCCCTCCCAGGCATGGGCATGAAAGGCTCAGCTCCAGCATGATCCCTGGGTACACAGGTTTGTATACCAGCCTGAACAGGGGCTGCCATCCCATAGCATGTGTCCCCAGTACTAACATATCTTCCTTGTTCCCTGCACACCAGGTTTTGTACCCCAGGCACAGTTCATCTTTGCTAAGAACTGCAACCAGGTCTGGGCTGAGGCTCTGAATGGTTTTACTCAGTGGCATGGTGGGCAGGGGAGTAAAAAACTGTCAAAGGAGGCCAAGAGGGAAAAAGACAAGGAGAAAGACCAAGAGCCAATGTCAGAGTTAGAGCTGGAGGCAGAGAAGAAGCCAGAGCTGAAGCGGGAGAAACAACAAGTAAGACCAAGAAGACTGGTGAGAAGTGTTGTGGGGTGCTTTTCCTTTGCGTCCAGGCCGGGGAGTTGACCATGGGTAGTGTGACTGTGGGTACAGGGGTCAGGGCTTGAATGCCCATGTTCCTGGGAGCTTGTGTAAGAGAACAGGGGCTTAACTTGACAGCATTATTTTTCTTCTATCAATTTCCTTCGCAAGGCCTCCCCCTACTCCATGGATGATACAGACCCTCAGAAGTTCTTCATGTCAGGTAAGGAGGTGGATAATGACCAAAGGCATGGGGAGGCCCACAGGATGTCTAACTCAGTGTCCCCATCCACTCAGGCTTCACTGGCTATGTGCCCCGCGCCCGCTTCCTCTTTGGCTCCAGCTTTCCAGCGCTCACCAACCAGGCACTGCAGGAATTTGGGCAGAAGAACTCACTGGGCAGGGCCCAGAAGGATTCTAAAACTCTGCCCCCGCTTCCCAGGACCTACCTTCAGAACCTAGGTCTTCTACCTCACTATGGGGGCTATGTGCCAGGTGAGACTAGCCTGAGGGAGGCACCGTGGACTGGAATGTTTATGTGTGGGATGGGAGGGGGCATGGCTTGGAAGATTAGAACAAATGGGGGGATCTTGGATCATATGATTCAGCTTTATCATTAGACAAAAAAGGAAACTAAGGTAGCTCACAGGGCAGAGTTAGGACCAGAGTTTGGGTGGTCTAGGCAACTGGCTGAGAATTAAATGGCTTTCAGGCTACTGGCTATATATGACAGACTCTCTTGGCCACACAGGGTATAAGTTCCAGTTTGGCCATACGTTTGGGCATCTCACTCATGATGCTCTGGGCCTCAGCACCACCCAAAAGCAGCTCCTGGCTTAGGTACCTGGATCTCAAGTTCTCCCTTCCTTTCTTTCTATCCCGGCCATATTTTTGGAAGAAAAGAGTTGGCGGGCAGGGGAGGGGGAGTGGGAGCACAAAGGAAATGGTTTGGAGGCTGAGCACCTTTTTTATTAATAGGTGTAATAAATAAATAAATAAATACATAAACAGAAGCTTGGGCTCTTCCTCCCTCTTCTGACGACCAGGCACTGGTCACAGCCTATTTACAGCTTGAGGGGGCTTAGGGATCTGGCCCCAATACTGTTACATATTCTTATTACCACCTTGCCTAGGGAACCCTACAGATGGCCTTCTAGGTCATCTCCTGCCACAGGTACTTGCTTTGTCTATGTAGACCCCCGGAAGGGTTGGCCCAGATGGGCCAGGGGAATCCTGGCAGCCCAGTGCTGCACCCCTTCCCTCCTTTCCTGGGTAGAGGTGTGGGCGAGGTCACTGGGACAGTTAAAGGGAAGTAATTAATACTGAGCACAGGGAGCAGGTGCCAGCACAGGGATATGTGGCCCCCAGCTCTCAGTCTACTTTCTGTAGCCAAGTCAGAGGGCTTGGGCAGGGCTCTTGGGCTCTGAGTCTGGGGTTGATGAGGGTCCCTGAGGCCACCAGCATGCACAGGGCCTCAGTTTTGGCTGCTTCCAGGGGTTGGACTTGGAGTCGGGGTCAACGTCACGTAGGCCAGAGGCACCAGGCCAGTGTCAGGGCCACGGCTGCAGCGCAGCCAGTCTCCTCCAGCTGGCCCCAGCACCCGCAGGATATCTCCCTTGCGGAAGCTCAGCTGTCCTGGGCCTGTGGCCAGATGGTGGCACAGAGCCTGCACCTCGCTGGAGAAATAACAAAAGGAGGTCAGAAAAACCCCACTGATAGTCAAACCCAGCTCCCCAATCCTTCCATTTCTCCTAGCTTACCAGGGGGGCTTGGAGGGCAGGGCTGGAGAGTGTGGCTCCTGCAGGCTTTCCTTGGGCTCTGTCTCGCGGCGGGCACCCATAGTCTGTGCCACTCGTTGGAACATGGACTTGTCCAGGCTCAGCCAGTCCGAGGGCAGCCTAGGGGAGAGCAGCCAGGCTCTGTCTCTGTCCATGCCCTGGCTTAGGTCAGGCTTCCCTACTCCACATCCATACTATGGGGAGGATCTCACCTGTTTGTGGGCCGGGCTTCCCGCTGAACTTTTCGGGAACCAAAGAGGTGTCCCCACTTGATGCCCCCAGGAGAAGGCTCTGAGGTCCCTTCCTCATTTTCTGCTGGTGGGGCAGTGGGCCCCTCCCTCTCCCGACTGCGTCTCAGCTCAGCGAGCACAGAGTCTGGGGGGCTTCCCATCCAGAAGGGCCAGCCCCTCTCCCGGCCAAGGGCCTCCTCAGGGGCAGGGCAGGCCTCAGCCCCTTCCACTACTCCCTCTCGGGGGGGTGGAGCGTGGGGAGGCCCCCCACTTCCTGCCCCTTTCTTTTTTTCACTGCTGCTGCCACTGTTGCTATTGCTGCTACCTCGAGGGAACCTAGAACCCTCAGTGGAGCCATCAATGTAGACCTGGGAGCTTTGCATGAGCTGGTACCACCAGCCAGCCTGTCCACCTCGGGCCCACCTGCCATGGCCTGAGCCCCCAGATGTCTCTGCCACCTCTTCTGTCTCCTCTTCCTCGTTCTCTTCTCCTCCTTCTGGAGCACCCACACCCTTCACTCGCTCCCCATGGGCTACCCTGTCCATGTCTCCAGGGCCCTCCTGGCCACGGGCCCGGGCCAACTGCAGCGTTGAGTGGGCAGATAGTAGCAGGTCCTGAGACACCCGCAGCAGTTCCTTGTGCTGCCGCTGCTGTTGCCCACTTTGCAGCAGCCGATGTTGGAAAAGCAAGTCGAGGTTGAAGGGCAGCAGGGCCAGGGGCTGCAGCAGTAGCAGCAGCTCCTCAAAGAGGCCAGGGCACACGGTGTGAGCTGCACTCAGGAAGCCCCAGGGATGGTAGTGGGTCTGGATGATATCTAAGGGAAAGAGAGGGAATGAGCAGAGCCTGACCTGAGTGGGACACTGAGGTGGAGCCACTACATGCTGCTGCCCAGCAGTGTGCTGTTACGGTGCACACCAGGCCCCCAGCAGCGGTGCAGTGTACAAACTCCACTACCTGAAGTGACAGCTTTTGAATCTGAAAGAGAGGAGTTTCTGGTCATTCTAACTTCCAGACCGCCTGAGTCTCCTGTTGCCTGCAAGGGTCTAAGTCAAGTAGAAACCAGGAGAGGACTTGGGTTGATGCCCAAAGCTCTGAGGAAGAGGCTTGTGTGGTCTGCGTGTACCCAATCCGCCCCCACCTCCAGCACCTGAAAATACAGTAATTTCTCCCTCTTTTTGAGTCTCTGAGGTCTTGCCTGTATTGACTTTGAGAGACATAGCAGATTCTGGACTTTACCTTCATGGTTATAGAGGTGATTAAACCAGAACTCCAGGGACCGGATGCTGTAGGGAGACAGGTGAAAAAAATTGAGTCTTGTGTGGATAGAGCCAGATAATAAGGTACAAAGTACACAGTACAGGGGTCAGATACAGACAGCAAATATAGGTGAAATCTTTTTCTATGGCCTGAATACTACCTAATTCTGGAAAGTCAGTGGGGACATGAGGAATGGGGTAGACATGTAGTTTACAAGTGAGTCACTTCCCCTAGAAGCCTGCACAAGACCCAAGAAGTCAGCGTGGCTACTAAGTGAGAGGACAGGTAGCCAAAGGGAGTGATCTGGGCCCATACCTAAGAAAGGATACTACTACTGCATGGGTTCTAAGGTGGCCCTACAGTTCAAGAAGAATTTGGAAGCAGAGCTGGAACTGAATGGATCAGGGATCACAAGATCCAGAGAAACCGAAGCCAATTAATTTCCAAATAAGCCACAATATGGATTTGTAAAAGCAGGAGGCCATGTTGGTGATCAGTATCAGAGGGTTGTGGGTGTAAAGGGAAAGCAGTGCCTACTGAGAGGCTGTAGCCAGCTGGGAAGAAAGGAAGCCTAGGCCCTGGCACAGATCTACTCCTTCTATCTCAGTTGAGGGAGCTGGTTCTTGAGAGGAGGCAGAGCCCGACAGGGCTGGCTGTAGAGAAGAGCCTGCTGTTCCACACTCACTTGAGCAGGCCAAGAATGAAGGCATTGAAGCGCATTGTATGACTGGTGAGCTCTGGGAACTGGCTGACTTTGTTGTAGAGGCCATGCAGGACCTTGGTGGATGGGCCTGGGAGGAAGGCAGAGTTGGAGGTTACACAACTGACTTCTGTGGCCTTAAATTCAGTATGGGGTTCCAATATTTCCACCCAAAACTTACCTAGCTGTGTAGAAGCCTCAACTACACTCCACGGCATGTTCTTACGCTGCCCGATGATGACATCTAATACAAAGGACTTGAGCCCATCTTCTAGAATAGCCCGGACCGCAGGGCACAAGTACTTCAGAACCAGATGGCCTACATTGGGGCTCACTGAACTATTTCCCAGCTTTGCCTGCAGATGCAGTAGGGAAGTTCAGGAAATCATGTGAAGTCTGACCTTGGTTCTCTAAGTCAGCCCTCAGGGTTCCTTCTCCTCTTGCCATCCCCATCCCCGAGTTCCAACTCTGGGCTCTAAATGCAAGAAAGCAAGGGAAGAAAGCAAGAAAGCAGCATACAGGGTGAATGTCTACAGATTTTCTTGCCTACCTTTACCCCAGGATCCCGGCTTGTGCCAAAATGGGCCACAATGAGGTCCACAGCTGTGTTAACAGCTTTTACCAGTCCTGCAAGAGAATTTGACAAGTCCTTGAACCAATTCTTAGTCAATCCAGTTGGAATGAACTTCGGTGTGGAAGGGGCAGCGCTCCCACACTTACTCGCAGTGTCCCTGGGTCTCACGGAGACACCCAGTCCTTGCCTTTTTCTGTTTGTGCATGTTCAGGCCCCTCCTGTACTCCCTGTCCCACTCTGGTACTGAGAAATTGAGCCTATGAGTGCTCCACTACTGTGTCACATCCCCATCCCTTTTTTTAAATGTTAAATTTGGCGATGGGGTCTTACTGATTGTGGAGTCTAGCCTCAAACTTGCAATCCTCTTGCCTTGCCTTGCCTTTCCAAGTTGCTGGGATTATAGGTGTGCCCACCATGCCCAGCCCCTCATTTTTTTTACCTCCCAGCCTGGGCCCAACTCAGTGCCACCTCTGTCAAGACCCTAAACCTTCTCACTTCCCAGCCTTTCTGATCCTGGATCAATTCTACTATCAATATCTGCTCTGAGAAAACAGGCCACTGACTGAGGATGGAGAAAATTCAGGTCCCTTATGTTGGTGCCAAACAAAGGCACTTCTTTGGTATTTGCCTAGTTAGCACCCTCTGCTAAATCCTTAAGCTGTTGTGTCAAATGTTTACTGCACTTCAAGCCCTTGGATCTACTTCACACAGAGAACAGAAGCCACTGGTTATGAATTCCTTTAACTTCCCTCTCCCTCCAAAACTTATATTGGATTTGCTGGGCATAGTGACGTACACTGTAATCCCAGCAGCTCGGAAGGCTGAGGCAGGAGGTTCACAAGTTTGAGGCCAGCCTCAGCAACTTAGTGAGGCCTTAAGCAACTTAATGAGACCCATCTCAAAACAAAAAATGAAAAGGGCTGAGGTTGTGACTCAGTGGTAAAGCAACCCTGGGTTAAATCCCCAGTACAAAACAAAATGAAACTAAGCAACCAACCAAACAAAAAACCCAAACCCTACAAAAAACAGTATATCAGGTTTATGCCTCCTCCTTCCCTCCCCCTTATCTTGGAGGCAGTGGCTGTTCCTCTTCTTGCCCAGTTCTTTCTTCTCCCTAAGCTTTGGATCTCACCTGCCCAAGGAACTTGGGCAAGAAACTTTAGCTTCATCTTTTCCTCCTTCCAGGCTTCTACCCTTTAGCCTGCAATTATACTCAATTATTTCCCCACCATCTCCCTGAAACTGCTCTTTTAATTCAGTGGTCACTTATTTGCCAAATAGGGAGGTTCCTGTCAGTCCTCATCTAATCAGATATCACCAACATGCTTCTAGAAGCTGCCAGGTCCTCTTGTCCCTTCAGTATGCTCACTACAGCACGTAGGCACTTATTACACAGTGATCTTCCTCATTATACTTTTAAAAAATATTTTTAAAAAA